CTCTAGGCCTCTCTCCCTCAGACACACCCCCACGTGGCCAGACCTGTGCCCAAACCAGGTGGGTCCTGGTCCGATAGGTGTAACCGATTCCCATATGAAACAGAGAAGGGAGCTAGGATTTATTGAATGCCAGACTGATATTTTCATCTCACAAAACTGCTGGAAACTGTTTAGTCTGATTTTACCCTGCTTGCAGCCTCACAAGGTAGCCTGCCACCGTTTCACAGGTGCGGATAGAAGGCACAAGACTCCCGGAGAGGCAGTCATCTTTCTCATTCTCATGAAATCTAGAGATGGTCTTGCCCTTTACTTCTTCCCGCTTTCCTCTTACCCTCCTGTTTGTGTTTTCTCAGTCTTCTTTGCAGACTCAGCCTCTTCTACCTGAATTATTATAGTGGCAGCATTCGGACCTCTTGTGTACCCATTTCCGTCCTCTCCAAAGCATTCTCCCAGCAGTAACTAGACCTTTGCAAAATGCAAATATGAACATACCTCCTGCTCAAACTCTTCAGAGTTCACACTACTCTGGGGGCAAAAACCAAAATTCTTAACGTGACTCACCAGGGCTGACGTGATCTGCATTTTTAACAAGATCCCTGAGTGATTAGAATGAACATTAAAGTCTAAGTACTGGGCTGTAGAACATGAATGTGACAAGATAATGCATGTCACAGGATGGCAAAGACCAAGTGTCAAATGAAGGACACCAGAAAAGCATGTCACAGGAACCCAATTCCTCCTCAGTATCTCACTCTGTTAAGATTTACTGAGAGATGATCAAAGCCTGAAGAAAAGCAAAATTGGTTTTACACACATGCCCAGCTATCGTAATTCCTTAGCACAAAGGGGTCTGGTGCTCTTGAAGAGAGCACCCTCGTGTGGAGTAGAGAGGAAACTTCCAGCTCCTTCTCCAGCGCGGGAAGGACGGCACCTGCGCCCCGAGGGAGCTGCCCCGCCTGTACTCACGAGGTGGTGTCTCCTTGTCCGACGCCATTGGGTCTCCAGGCGCCCTTTTCAGCTTTTAGACCCGCAGCCAAATAGCTAGCTCGTCATTTGTGCCACCTACAGTATGCACCGTGGAGATGCACAAAGCAAAAAAAAAAAAAAAAAAAAAAAAAAAAACCCTGACCAACCAACTAGAACCCCTGCTAAGTCACAAGGCCAGAGGAGTTTTTATATTGAAATCTTTCCTCCCCCTCACATGCTTGGGTTTGGGCACGCCGGCCGCGGTGCTCTCTTGCACCCTAATTATTAGAAACAAAGCAGGCTCTTTCCCTCCCTCCTTCCTATCTTACCGTTTCCTTTTTTCTTTCCATTCTCCGGTTTTTTTTCCTTATATTCCCTTCTCCTAAATAGTCTGTTATGCTGCATTACCTCATAAAAAACAAAAGCTGTTCTGTAAATTCTGACTGGAATGCCTGGAAAAGAATGTCGCGCTTCGCTCTGCTGCACGATGGTCAATATTTGCAAGAGAAGCGTGAATCCTGGGCAGCTCACCGGGGCTTTCAAAAGAAACTCGCACACTGTCATTCAACATGACAATGTTCCTGTGTCAACGTGAGTCTCCACGATGACTGCATTAGAAAATGTGTTCGGGTGTTTTCATTTTTTAAAAAGATAGTAATAACACTAAGCAGTGTTTCCCCCACGGATACTCTCTCTCTTGTTTATTGTGTTTGCTCCACGAATCCCATCTTGAGGAGTCCGTGGGCCGCGGGAGACGAACGCGGGTGTCACTGGCGTAGCTCTCGGGGGCTGGACGGGCCGCCGCTGTTCCTTATCAGCACACCTT